TGTGTGTGTGTGTGTGTGTGTGTGTGTGTGTGTGTGTGTGTCACTGTCAGATTGATGTGACAAGCTGTTTTCTTTTAGTTTTTTAATTTAATTGTAGCAGTCCATGCAATAATACTAAGAATTGTTGTAAAGCAATTGCTAATATAAAATCGGAATGCATATATGATATTTAATCCAGAGCACTGTTCAGTGGCGCATGTAATACTCTAGGGAAGGATAATAAATTAAGATTAATACTGACAACGGGATAGGAAGCCGCTCTGCTAATAATGTAAAGTTCAAAGGAGTGGTTATACTATTACTAAGTTATCAGCTACCTCAAATATTAAATTTAATCTATAAATATAATTATTGCTAAAAATCCACTCTAACTTAACAGTTAAGTGCAATTTAAAATAGATATGATTCAATTTTTCAGTGTTCAAATTATCTAGCTGTTTAGTAATGAAACAGATGCATATATATAAAAGTAAATTTTGAATGTTATACTTAATTGTATTTTTTTATTTACTAGGTGTAGCAATGCCCAGAAAGATGGTGTTAAAATAGACCCTTCTGTAGACTGTGGGAAGTGGTATGATCTGAAGTTGGCTGAAGTGAGATCCAGCACCCAAGTTCCGCAAGGAAAAGAGCACCCCCCAATAACTGGCTGGAAGGAATTCCCCAAGTCGGGCATCCCCCCTGTCTTCAATGCTGGGCATATTTACCATCACTTGGTGGAGTCAATACAAGAGAGAGATGATGATGATGATGATGATGATGATGATGGTGGTGGTGGTGCAAACAGTGACTTTGCCACTGACAAGCCAATGCGCCGTGGCAAGATATTTTATGACAGTGGAAATGTCACAGAAATACAAGATGTAAGAAAGGGTAGTCAGTATTTTGTGAAGGCAAAAGTTCTTGCCAGTATGCGTAAAACAACGTATTCAGTTCTTTTTTCTCTCTCAGTGAACAGTGGTTTTGTCTCCGATGCTACTTGTGATTGCCGTGCATCGGCACTAGGGAGATGCAGTCATGTAGCAGCAGTTTTATATGCACTAAGTTATTGTGTTGAGAACTCCTCTGACAGATCTGTACCATGTACAAGCAAACCCTGTACATGGAACCGGGGACGGAAGCAGGGTAAAAATCCAAAGAAAATAACAGAAACATCATACCCTAAAACCCATTCCTCTAGTGTTATACAATTTGACCCAAGACCCTTATCTCAGCAGTCAACTGCACAAATGCCCCAGGAAGAAATTAACAACTTTTCGATTTCTCTGCAGTCATGCAGTAAGAACCTGTCCATGTGGGAAACGCTCCTTCCTGTTATATATGATGACTATGTCTTGTCAGAGGAGGAGAAGGTAGTATTATTAGTTAAAGTAGACCAGCTGATAGAAAATCTGACCCCCGAGGAGCAGGGACCAGTACATGTAGTGACGGAGCAAGGAACTGATCAGTGGCATGCACTTAGGGCCTTGCGGGTAACAGCTTCAAATGCTAAAGCCATTGCTAGAGCACATGACAGTACTCGCCCAACCCTTGTACAGAAGCAGCTGTGGTTGTAAATACGACATATCTGCAGATACCGCCTCATTCCTATGACACTATTTGTCATAGGGTAGGATTGTTCCTTTGATGAAAATATTGTTGTATTGTCGTGCGCAAGTCCATAGGAGTTTATAGGGCGCGCATATGAGCCGCAGCAACCTTGAATTTCAGGCTTGTTCTATCCAAGCAAGCGTATTCAGCGTATTTTTCCGTTCACGTCTCGAGTAACGAAAAGTTGTTGACTCGCCAATATAAGGTAGTCTATAGGCGAAAACCGTATTACGAAATCTTAATTTAACAGGCAGCAAAAAAAAGCCAGCGTATAATTGCCGAAGGCGCTTATGTGCTCGGTATTCTGGTCATAGGAGCTGCCAAGAACGAGGTGGAAGGGCCAAAAGTGCCGTACACGATAGTCCCTGTTGCATCATACACGCTGTCAGCTATGTATTTTTTCAGGGGAGAATAATGACAAAATAAATTTTGTTTTTTTTCTCTCCTAGCCGGCGAAACTGGGAACACATATTCGCGGCATGGGTATTATGGTAACAAAATACAGACGGACACGCGCGCTATTGTTTTTTTTTGCACGAATGAAAGGTGTCAATGGCCAATCTATTGTAAACTGGGAACTAAGTAAGCCGCTCCTGGCTGTTATTGCCGCTGGATTTGTCCGCAGAGCACGGTAAATGCACTTGTCGCCACACTGAGGTCCATTGTACGTCTGACATCATTGCTGACCGTCTACTGCTGACGTTCATTGCTGGCACCATGCGCAGTCATCATCGTCATTTCACAACACGGTAATTATGCTGGTAATGTAAACATTAGTGACAGGTACACTACACGTATTAATCAATGTCAATGGGAAGAGAAGGAGAGTCAGTGACAGAGCGAGAGACGAGCGAGACAAGGAGAGAGAGACGAGAAGAGAGAGGCGGAGAGAGCGACGAGGAGACGACGAAAGAGCGACTGCGCAGCGACGGAGAGGGAAAAGAGCGAGGTCGGCCCGAGGAGATGAGGGAGAGATACGAGGTGAGAGGAGATAGAAGTAGAGGAGAGCTCGAGCGCGCAGAGGACTGTCGAAAGAGAAAGGGCAACTGGAGCCAGAGAATGCGACGAGAATGCGCTGCGAGCGAAAGAGAGAGAGGCGGAGAGAGGAGATGAAGAAAGAGATGGGAGAGGAGCTGAGCGCCGCGAACACGAGAGCCGCGCGCTTCGCGGAGAGAAGATAGAGAGAGCTGGATGAGAGAGAGAGCGAGAGCAGCGAGAGACGACGACGGAGACGAGAGAGAGAGAGAGCGCGGCGTCCCAAGAGAGCTAATCGTATATTTATTACACATTTACTG